CCCATGAACGAGGTATGCTAACTTTCGCGCTATCTGGTTTATCTTGCCTTTGAAGGATTCTAACTTGAGCTTCGGAGCCCTTACGCCGGGTTCTCCCCGGAGCTTCTCTTCTCCTTCTGTTTCAGGTCCCTGTTACTCAGTTCAGAGGCAAGATCATCAACAGCTAAGACCGGCCAGATTGTGTATCATCACTACATATTTGCAATTTTGCATTATTATTTAGAGCTTTCTTCAATATTTAAAATAAGAAACAATTATTAGTAAATTTATAATAGAAAAAAGACTTCAGAAATAATTCAAATTCATCAAGTTGAAATTTTTATTGCTTAGAAGAATATCCATCTTTTTAATTAGTAGTTAGGGGAACCCCAAAATAATTAAGATGAAATAAAAAAACTAATCATTAGTTTATTTGAAAAATATATTACTATAATGAAAATAAAATGTGTTGTTTGTTTGCAAAAAAAGAAATTTGAATCTGATGCTGCCTACTTCATTTACTTCCTCTCTCTCTTCCCTAATTGTCATAATTCAATCAGTAAAAGCCAATTAAAAGTCTTGATATAGAAAATGTTACAAGTTTATTTTGAAAATTTAAAGAAGAATGATAGATAAAATAGTTGCTTACATCTTTACTATTGACAATTGTTTCGCAGGTGGTGACAGAGATACAACAGTCGCCAAGTGGGGTGATTGTAAAGACGGAGGATGGTTCAATCTACAGAGCTGCATACGTAATGGTCTCCGTCATCATCGGTGTGTTGCACACCAATCTCATCAACTTTCACCCTGATTTGCCGGTTAGCACTAGTCCTTTAATTTAATTAAGGGAGAATGACTGATCAGTTTAGGTCAGAATTTTTTAATCTCACCGTTCAGAAGATGAATTCTAACCATGAATTGTTGCCAACTTTACGGGCAGGATGTAGTTTATAGAGGGGCTACTAATAGACTATGGGGAACTGTCATTCAGAATTCTGCGTTGAGTTGCAGTGTACTTAACCCTTTAATTAATGTGAGCTGTTACTGTTATAACTGAATATATAAATAAGGATGGATGAATTAATCTAGCTGAAATTTTATAAATTCGGCACAGCAATGGAAGATCCTGGCCATATACCAGTTTGATATGGCAGTTTATACCAAAATATTCATCAAATTCCCTTACAAATTCTGGCCCACTGGAAATGGCACCGAGTTCTTCTTGTATGCTCATGAAAAGCGCGGTTACTACACGGTTTGGCAGGTATGTAAATGTAATCTGTTACAGACAATGTATCTGAATTTAATTTGTTCTTATCGTTACTAATTACTAACTTATTAATGAATTATTATTACTTGGGTTAAATTAATATTTGTAGCAATTGGAGAGGGCGTACCCAGGATCCAATGCTCTTCTGGTAACTGTTACTGACGATGAATCCAGGAGAATAGAACAGCAACCGGATTCTGATACTAAGAAGGAGATCATGGAGGTATTGAGAAACATGTTTGGGAAGAATATACCAGAGCCTACAGACATATTGATTCCAAGGTGGTGGTCCAACAGATTCTACAAGGGAACATTCTCAAATTGGCCAATCGGGGTTAACCGCTTCGAGTATGATCAGATAAGGGTAAGTACTGTATTTTAATATATATATTAGTAAATATGTACGTGCATTTACACGTGGCAGTATCTCTAAGACAAAATTTTATGGATAGTTTCTGAAGTTATAAATGGACAGTTTCTAGATAGTTATAAATGGTCAGTTTTTAAAATAAGAGTGAAGAACATATATGCCCTCTTTATGCCTATTATATATTTAAACAAAATGAATAAAAAATATCCAATGAAAATTCCAAAAAGAAGGAACATTCACTCTTTTATAAGTAACATAGATATAAATATATAGAAGAACAGTGCCACTTGGATTTTATTTATAGTTATAATTTGGTTTGTGCTCTTTTAAAGGCACCCGTTGGAAGGATCTACTTCACCGGCGAGCACACTAGCCAACACTACAATGGTTACGTGCATGGAGCCTACCTTGCAGGTTTATTAATTAGGTTTTTAATTATGTCTAGTTTTGTCAATGGATTTAATTAAGTGTTAATTAATTGTATATATTAATTGTGGGATTAGAGAGAAATGAGTACTACTGATTCATTGATTGAGAAGTTGGCATGGATTCAGGGTCTATCTAAATTCTAAGTAAGACACTTAATTTGAGAAATTAATATTTCAGGTATTGATGCTGCAAAGATAATGATCCGATGCATCAAGGAGAAAGATTGCAAGTACAATGTCATGCCCAAAGGCACTTGAAGTTTGGATTGAAGGTGTTCCGTCCCTGTTCCCTGTTTCCCAAGATAATAAAGTACAGTATCTCTATTTCTAGAGCTGTATCATGTATGTATGTTAATGGTGATAACTTACATATAGATCGCCTATATGCCCTAATTTGTACTTTGCATTGTGTTAAGTTCAAAATTTCGATACGATACGCTCTATATCGGGCATATCGTATCATATCTTTGGGGGTCTGATACCATACTCTTTTTAAATAAAAAATATGTTTAAATATCTTCCCAAAAAGCAAATTTAAAAAAAAAAAACAAAAAAAAAAAGATATTTCCACTTGTATTTAAGTACTGATACATCTCTGTGATATACAGAGGCGTATCAATATTTGAACCATGCTACACTAATTCATTCATGATGATATCCCCATACCTTTCTTATTTACAAGTATCATAGTTGACTTACCTAACCTCTTACAATCACAGTTGATCTCCTCTTACAATCACAGTTAACCTCTTACCTAACCTCTTACAATCCCCATACTCATTGGTGTTGAATGGAGTTCAACACCAATGAGTTTAAAATGAGTGAAAATATAGACTAAAAACAAAGGCATGAAAATATAGACTGAAAGTGGAGTTTTATATTGGTCCATATTTATGTTAAAAACAAATGCAGTCTTAGTAGTGTTGTTACAAACAAAAAAGTATACAATAGGCTACGTAACCCCAAGTAAGAACGAATACATTAGTTATTCATACAGATACAAATTGAGCAAATCACCGGGTCAGCGTGTCGGATCTTTATTAGGTTGTGTAGCGTTTTTCATTATGAACATTTGTTTTGTAGCAGATCTGGAGAAAGGTTCAAAGTATCAATACGTATTAGCCCGTATTGGTCAATACGTATCATTTCGGAACCTCCTGATACGCCCCTACAGTGGGTGTATCGAGGCTCTGACTGGTTCAGGGAGTGGAGGAATCTTAAACCAGCCCCCCTGAACCGGTATTGAAAAAAAAAATAAAATAAAAAAGTCAAAAAAAAACAGTATCGATATCACCTGATATGCCCCTACCAGCATATTGGGCATATTGGTATTTTGAACCTTGATCCGGAGTAGTAAAAATGAGGATTGCCATTAATCCATACCATTCCATTCTAAGGTCCCTCTTGTACATCATACGTATGCTATGCTATATAACTCAAAGCCACATAGTTGATCAACTCTTTAGTCCTCGGCTGAGGGCAACTGCCGCTACAAGCTAGTATGGGTCGAGACTAGGGCTCTTTATGGGCTTGGCCAATCCGGGGTTTGAGACTATGAATTTAAATCTAAAATATCAAATGTATATACATGAGAGAGAGAGAGAGAGAGGGGCTTAAAATCTTTCAAAGGAGTATCAAAAACTTCCTCCATGGTTTTTAAAACCGAACCGGTGACTGAACCAGTCAGGAGTCTGGTTACCGGTTCAAATGGTCCAATTGTTCGACCCAAACAGCTAGCCCATTCTGACAAAAAATTAAAAATTTAAAAAACGGTCAAAACCGTTTGAACAGTTCAGACGGTTCAAACGGTTAACCAGCTGGTTCAACGGTTTGCTGACCAAAATCAACGGTTTTGGGGAATAAAGCAGGTTTGGGGAAAAACGGAACCGATCATATGACCGCTTCCCGGTTTTTCCGGTCCGACTGTCCGGTCCGGTCCAGTTGTGAAAACCATGACTTCCTCTAAATAGCCTTCTATGAGGAAAATGAACGAAAAATGATCATAGGTGCATCATGTGACCTATTAGGTTTTTTGAAATATCCAAGCTACCCTATAGACATATTTGCCCTTACGAGAAGAAAATGACTTGTTTTCTACCCAACTTGTTTTGCTTCTTCAACAATGAGAAAGCTTTTTGTTCAAAATTAGGCGTTGAAACTTTCAGCAATGAAAGATTTGTCTCTTTATGCAGTAATTTAAGCTGTGTACAAGGTTCTAAGTATATACATGCTCAACATTGAAATTTTCAGTATAAAGTATGGAAAACATACGACACGATACTTTTTTTTACCTTGCATTTCAACAATCCAGAGACCCATCAATAAAATGCAAACACACCAGCACTCACAATAAATTCAAAGCATTCCATCAACTGGTTTTTTATTTCAAGCACTGGTGCTGGGAGTGTGTGTGTAGCATACATTTCATGTGTATTGTGTACACAATAAGACGATAACTTCGAACCTTGATTGTGTAAAGAGAAGATACCTGTTACGATTGAATCCCACCAACTAGCTAGTTCCAATTTCCAAATATATGGATGGAGAGCTGCTCCATCCCAAGTTCATGGAGCCAAGTAGTGCTGCGTATTGTTAGGAATTTAGGCCAACAAAGATGTTCAAAGTTTGATACTCTCTCGATTGCTGAAAAATGCAAGTGCAAATTTCATTTATTCATTCATGCCATAAGTCAAATTTGGCGTTTATCGTATGAGCTCTTGGACATAATTTTACTGTCTCATAACTAGCTCAGACTCAGAGACATGTATATGTACCCACCCATCTTCTAAACCTCTACATTTGACAAAGCATCTAGCAGACTGAAAGCATCGGTTCATATAAGCATTATGAGACTGAGGGATCTCTGAAATTTAATCAAAATCCCCGTTAACATCACATCTAAAATAGTCCATGTCCATGTCAAAGTACATGGTCATATCGCATCCTTGATCCTTGCATAATGTGAGCATCGCCTCTACCATATATAACATGTACACACATGCCTGTTAATACAACTGACAACAATTTGTAAAGACATTCGATACTTGTGCTTCATCTGCTTCAGACAACGAACCAGCTGGGGGCCTTGGTTTGGACTGAAACAATAATTAATGATGCTTTAAGACCCCATGAAAAAATTGTGGGCTTCATAATACCTGTGTAACACGACATTGAAGAGGGGATGGATGGGCTCCAGCAGGTTGGAATGCGGACCGAGCACTGCCTTGGGCAAAGGTGGGGAATCGGCGTCCTTGCACCAGCTGTATTGACAGACTGCAAGACCGCTAAGACAATAACATGTGTGATAATAATCTCTGTGCTTCCCAGGTTTGTCTCTGAACCCTCCATCCTGTACCTGCATTTATCATAAAAAATGAAGTTTATTATCAACAAGTATGAGCTGGCCATCCTTGTCGAATCCAGATTTGCTCCTCACGGAGTGCGCTTCATAGCACTTTCAGACGTGCATTAAGAATATCTCCCAAATACTTGCCGTGAAGTTGGTGTGAGGCGCACTCTGTGAAGAACTATAATTTAATATTCCAGATTAATCACGTCAGTAGCAACTAGCAGGACCAGAATATTTATCTATATGATAGGGTCTAGTCGTCTAGAAAACATTTATGGTAATTGGCTGAGGTTTCGATTTCTAAGTACGAATTCCTTCCATTATGACTAGGTAAATTTTGATAAAATAGACCAAAACCTGAAACGAAGAATCTTCGAATAAGCTTACTAAAGAGAGATCTTCAAATAAAATCCACTAGTAAGATGTGCCTCAGCATGCAAAAAGTACCTGAGAACATAAGAGAATATATTGTTGCAACGCAACGCTGTGAAATAGAGGCCCCAATTCAGCGGGTATCTTGATAAAGTTGAGACCAATATCTGAAAATTCTGCATCAGATGGCACAAGGAAATTGAAGCCACACCGGAATGTCATCATCATCATCATAATTAAGGGAAATTCCAGAGACCCCACTGTGTTTTTGGCGGGTCTGGCATTTACCCCCCCCCCCCCCCGCAAAACCCTAATTCTTTATCTTTGGCAGATTCCTGCTAAGCGTTCACTCTATGATCTCATAACCCACTCTGCAACCATTCTGCCAAAGGAATGGATGGAATACACCAATGTGCATGTAATCTGCCTTTCTTGATTTATAAGATGCCTTTACCTTTGTTCATTAAATATTACTAAAAAATATTTTTTTGGCATAATCATTCTAACGGAAGTCTCAAAACCATTGTTGATGTCTGGTCAGATTGTCAACTGGTCACTAAGATTCTGGGTCCTTACCCCAAAACCCAGAAATAGACAGAAAACCGTTGATTTTGGTCAACTCAGATGGTTAAACCAGGCATTCACAATCGTGGTTCAAATGAACAAATAAATATCAAATTGAAATAATAATAATAATAATATATGGAAAACTATTTAAAAATAAGAGGGAGACAGAAAAAGAAGAGAGGAGATGCAGATGCAGATGCAAATCAAATAGAGATAGAGCGGGGGGGAGGAGGTACCAGTGACACCGATGGCAGTGGTAGCAAATCCTCTCCACCCCTCCTCTTCCTCTCTTTTTCTTTACAAGGCACAACTTAACCTAATACTCTTATCTAAGGGATGAGAACCAAATTTAAACTGATATCACCATGTAAAAGTAACCCTTACTTAAGTTTAACAGTCTGACTTGACCTCTGTTCAACCCGAACGGTCAAACCAGTGAACAGCCACCTAGACAAAAATCTGGCTTGACCTCTGGATCTGATTCTCAAACATAAGCCCCAATATCAATATCTCTGTCATTCAAGTAATTCTCCAATGTTTCTAAAAAACATCCAGCACATGTCATGATGTACCAAATCAACCAAAAGATACAGACCATTGAAATGACCTCCTAAGATCAGTGAATCTCAACCATCCATGTGATATCAAGATTTCAACAAATCAGACCATCCAAATAATGTACCAAACAAATACTAAATTCTATGAAATCAAAGTGGTCCATTAACAGCTATGAATTAATATTTTCCATTCAAATAATGCACCAATATTTCAACTAATCTTAGACATTCAAGTATTGCATAAAATTCAAAAAAAAAAAAAAAATCAAAGCACATATGATGTGATTACCAAATTAGAGTTGCAAGGTGGATACCTGATTTGAAGAATTTACAATGCATTAGGCCAGACCCATTCAAATTTTTAAAAATATAGTAAGCCTAAGTCTGCCCAAGTTGCACCTCTATCTCATCCAATCTAGCCCATTCAAATCATGTAAAAAATCAACCCAAAGTTTTAAACCATCAAAGTGGTTTCTTACTATCAACCATCTAAATAATGTACTACTACTAGTCTAGGCCATCCAAATAACACCCCAAAAACACTATGATATCAAAATGGTCATTTCATCATCATCCCAACTATAAGGGGTCGGTTACATTAATCCTGTTTTGCCAATCCATTCTATTTCCACTGTTTAATTATTAGTGCAGCATAGTGCTTAAATCATTTCTTACTACTTCTACCCGTCTACCCCTATAGCTCTTCTAGCTCCTTCCACTTGTAACCAAGGTTCAAAATATCGATACAAGCCAATACACCAATTGGGGCATATCGACCTGTATCTTGGCTCTTTTTTTTTTGTAGCTTTTTTCTCAAACTGGTTCAGAGGGGTCAGTTTAAGACCCGTCTACCCCCTGAACCAGGCCACACCCTTTGCAAAGGCGTATCTGGAGGCCATCAATACAATATGTATCGGCCGATATGGCCCAATACGTATCAAAATTTTGAACCTTGCTTGTAACATATCACTTCTCCTAACTGGAGTTATTGGTGATCCTATATGAATGTGACCAAACCATCTTAATCTACTCTCATTTTATCACCTATTGAAGCTACTCCTAAGTTTCTACGGATGGTTTCATTCCTGATCATATCATTTCTAGTTTTTCCACTCATCCATCTTAGTATTCACAGGCCACACCCATTTTCTGACCATGTTTCTTGACTGTCCAACACTCTGCTCCATACAACATAGCTGGCCTTACAACTGTGTCATAGAATTTTCCTTCTAATTTAAGTGGTATTCTAATATCGCACAAAAGTCCAGATGCACCTCTCTATTTTGCCCAACCTGCTCTAATTCTTTGGGTGACATCCTCCTCAATCTCTCCCTTGTTATGAAGTATTGAACCACGGTACTGGAAATGGTCATATTTAGTCATCTCTTGGTCTCCAATCCCAAGTATATCTTGATTTACACTCTTATTATTACTAAACTTACATGTCATATACTCAGTTTTAGTTCTACTTATTTTAAAACCTCCTGTTTCTAGGTCATTTATCCATAAGCTTAATTTTGTCTTGCAATGTCATCCGTAAACAACATGCACCATGGAACTTCTTCCTAAATATGTTTAGTCTATTCATCTATGATCAATGCAAATGGACAAGGGCTAAGTGTTGAACCTTGGCGAAGAATCATTGAAACTGTAAAACCTGAAGTCTCTCCCACTGGTGTTCTAAGAGGAAAAAATTAATCTTAACAATACATACATACACACATGTATGTACTATGTATATACATATATATAGGTATAAATACATTATATCAATAATCAATGTATAATTATATTCTACATGTAATATATGCATTATTTTATATTTAATTCATATTTTTAATTTTTCATTTCTAAAATGCTAAAAATTGCAATTTGAGACCAAAAATGGTTTTTTTGTGAAAATAATGAGGCAAGGCGCCTTCAGCTCCTTGGGACACATAGGTCTCAAAAAGTTATCCAAAATTTAAAAAAAAAAAAAAAATCACCCCAATCAGACATCCAAGCACAAGGTTATGGCCTCCCAAAGTTTGCACATACATTGATTGTGCAACCTGTGACCTGGTGACCAAGTCAAATGGGTCAACGGTTCAACCACCTAGGTCGGATGTTTTTAACCAAGTCAACGACTTTTGAGCAAATCCCAGGCTTTAGCCTAACTGGACACAAAATCGTGGTCGGTGACGGTTCAGACAGTTCGACCATTTGGGTCAACAACAGGTTGAAAACACTGCTTCGGTGGTATCTATATTTAGGTGTTATTTGGTACATTATTTTTTATAGCCTATAACTGCCACTCATCCATACTAAGTGGACAATTTTGTAACTTTCCACTTACCATCAACACCAGCAAAGAGTTCAAGAGCTTGGGGGAATCTGCCAAAAAATTAAAAAAAAATGGGGTATCAAGTGCCAAACGCCCCAAACTATGGGGGGTTTTCTGGAGTTTACCCTAATAACAATAACAACAACAATACCTTTTTGTTTAGCATGGAACCTCTCATCAGTTTGATACGATTTAACATCTGAACCACATTCACCTTCAGATAAATTAGAAGCTGCACCAGTACATATGCTCCTCCAAGACAGGCTTCCTCCAACATCCAATGCCCTCAGTTGTTCAACAATGATAGAATTTAACCTTTGAATTAATGCAAATACAGCTCCCTAGTGACATTTTGACATAACTTCAAAGTTTAGAATGATCCAGGGAGAGACTTAGAGAACCAGATATGTTAGAACATTACCTGCCAAAAGGAATAGCATCCATCAACCAATTTATTTGCTCTTCCCTGAAATCCACACTCCACTCCTTGACGAAATGCAACCCAGTCCTAGCAATAGAACAAAAGAAAATTCACAAGGCAGTATATAAGCCCAAAACAAGACCTAAAAAGGGTATCCTTATAACAGATGCATACAGTAAGCACACTATTCATCATATTTGACTAATATTGTTTGCCTTTGGTCCAGACAAGCACAAAGAAAAAAGAAAGATGAAGTGCAAATAATAATAATAATGTATAAATCAACATTTTTTAACAAGTGGTAAAAAAATAGTGTATTACTATAAGGAGGGCAAGACCAAAAAGCTATACATTTATTATGTACGAGTAGTATAGCATGTAAAGTATAAGCATTCAGTTCACCAAAGAATGACAGAAATCTTATCCTCCCTAAAAGTATCCAACTTATCTCCAGAAAAATCATGTTAAACCTTGGCATGACAATCTGCTTACTTGACCTACACCAAAGCATGGTTTCAAATGTTGCCAAATGTCGCTAATGTCGCACAACATATGATGTCAAGGCTCACCGACATGAAAATGGATGGTAATATAAAAATTACATTATTTCGGTCGACATTTCCTATATTTCGGAAATGTCGACCAAATCGGTCCAAATAACCAAAAAAAATGCAGTTTTTCCTATTATGTCGACAGGATGTCAACTAATTTCGACAAGATGTCGACTAATGTA